AAGCTGGGTCACTATCACGGGAAGGTTATACAGTCGTCGATGACAAGCTATGGTACAAGATTCGATTGGTTATTCCTAAGTCTTCGATTTTTATTCCTCTCATCTTACATGAATGTCATGATGGAGTCATGGGGGGTCATTCGGGTGTGCTCAAAACGGTGAAAAGAGTGCAACAGCTGTTTCAGTGGGACGGATTGTTTAAGTGTGTCCAGAAATATGTTTCTGAGTGTCAGATTTGTCAAACTCACAAATATTCTACACTATCTCCAGCTGGGCTACTGCAACCATTGCCTCTTCCTACTCTGATTTGGGAAGATATTTCTTTAGATTTTGTAGAAGGGTTGCCAACGTCTCATGGTCATAATGTTATTTTGGTGGTCGTGGACCGACTGAGCAAGTTTGCTCATTTTATAGGATTACGACATCCATTTACTGTCAAAGATGTGGCGAACAAGTTCATCACTGAAGTGATACGTCTCCATGGCTTTCCGAAATCTATAGTTTCAGATCGGGACAGGATCTTCCTTAGCTCTTTTTGGAAGGAGCTATTTCGTCTTGCAGAGACAAAGTTGAGATTTAGTACAGCTTTTCATCCCCAAACTGATGGCCAAACAGAAGTATTAAATCGGTGTTTGGAAACATACTGGTGTTTTGCTTCGAGTCACCCGCGCACTTGGTTTAAGTATTTGGCTTGGGCAGAATTGTGGTACAACTCATCATATCACACTTCACTGAAGACAACTCCTTTTAAAGTTGTTTACGGCAGAGACCCACCCGGAATACTTCGTTATGAGCACGGCTCTACTGGAAACGTTGATTTGGAAGCTATGCTTTTGGAGAGAGATGCAATGTTACTCCAGATTAAGTCTCACCTATCTCATGCGCAGCAATTAATGAAGAATAATGCTGATAAGCATCGGCGAGATGTTGAATTTGAAGTCGGTTCGTTAGTGTTCTTGAAGCTACGCCCTTATCGGCAGAAATCTGTAGTTCGAAGAGTGTGTCAGAAACTTTCAGCAAAGTATTTCGGACCTTTTGAAGTATTGGAGCGCATTGGGAAGACTGCTTATCGTCTTAAGTTACCAGAAGATTCAAAAATTCATCCGGTGTTTCATGTTTCTCAGTTGAAAGGGGTCTTTGGTAAAGATCACAAAGTTTTTCCTCTTACTCCGTCTGGTCCTGTGATGGAAGAAGATTTGTTGGTTCCTGAGTTGTTGGTAGATGATCGATATAATGATGATGGCTATTTGGAGGTTTTGATTAAATGGCAGTGATTATCGGATGAAGACAACACCTGGGTTTTGGCGAAGTCATTTCGAGCTGCATTTCCTGAATTCAAGCTTGAGGACAAGCTTCGTGTTAAAGGGGGCGGTATTGATAAGCTTGATTCAAGATTCATCCGTAAAAAGAAGAATGAAGCTTAGAAATTTTCTATTTTTCTTTCTTAGAAATTTTCCTTTTTCAGAATGACTTTTGTGCTTTTAAATATCGTGTCTTGCTTTGAGGTTCTTTAGGCTTTGATTTTGGAATTGATTAGAGAGACGTGAGTCTTGAGGCGATACTCTTATTGAGGATTCGTGAGAAAGAGTTGTTAGTTCTCTAAGTTTAGGAGTTCTGATATCTCTTGAGTGATTTCAGATTCAAAGCTGTAATTCTATTCTATTTATTAATAAGAAGCACTATTCGGGAAAATCAGAAAGAGTTGAGTTTGCCTTACAGGTGTATCGAGGTGCAAACTTAACAGAAACATAATGGTAAATATCTCTCTATCGACCTATTGTTACTTATCTATTCATTTGCTTGCTAATGGTAACACACTGATGACTTTACTATCTATTTAACTCTGAATTTAGCTATTATATCAAAGAAAGCCTCACAAGATGTGTGGAGGAATGGTCTTAAACCACAAGATGTCTCAGGTTTAAATTTCTTTGAGATGAATACCATTGAAACTGCCACCAATAGTTTTAGTCTGTCAAATAAACTCGGACAAGGTGGATTTGGTTCAGTTTACAAGGTAAGAGAATGTTTGTCCTCTTTACTCTTTTGTATTCTCTGTTTATGCTCTCAAGATGACCAAGACCAATGTGTTTCAGGGAAAGCTACAAGATGGGAAAGAAATTGCAGTAAAAAGGCTTTCTAGCAGCTCGGGGCAGGGCAAAGAAGAGTTCATGAATGAAATAGTACTCATCTCAAAACTACAGCACAAAAACTTAGTTCGTATTTTGGGATGTTGCATTGAAGGAGAAGAGAGGCTATTGATTTATGAGTTCATGTTGAACAAAAGCCTTGATACTTTTCTCTTTGGTGAGTCATTTCTTGCCTCAGATCGTTTCCTATTAGCAGTTTTTTATCTCTGTGTAGAACAGTTTATCTGATACCTTTTCACTGTACTATTGCCTAGATTCAAGAAAAAGGCTTGAGATTGACTGGCCTAAGAGATTCAGTATAATCCAAGGTATTGCGCGTGGACTTATCTATCTCCACCATGACTCACGCCTCAGGGTCATTCACCGAGATCTTAAGGTAATCAATCTTCTCCTGGATGAGAAGATGAACCCAAAAATATCAGATTTTGGATTGGCTCGGACGTATCAGGGAACTGGATATCTGGACAACACTCGCAGGGTTGCAGGAACTCTGTAAGAACCTATTTTCAAAAACATGCCTAACAAGAGTCATAGCCATATTCATATATTAAACATGCATTCATATATTAAACATGCCTAACATGGTTTAAAACTAAAAGACTCTTAGTCATAACCATATATAAAATTTTTGCTATATATGCAGAGGATATATGTCTCCCGAGTATGCTTGGACTGGGATGTTCTCTGAGAAATCAGACATCTACAGCTTTGGAGATCTGCTGTTAGAAATCATCAGCGGAGAAAGGATATCAAGATTCAGCTATGGTGAAGAAGGAAAAACTCTTCTTGCATATGTAAGTTAGACTTTTAGGTTCTCATATACTTGCAAAATTTCCTGCTCTTACATTCTTGAGATATGTAAACTAAACAACAGGCGTGGGAATCTTGGTGTGAAAATGGAGGAATTGATTTGCTGGACCAAGATGTTGCTTGTTCAAGTCATCCATCTGAGGTTGGAAGGTGTGTGCAGATTGGTCTTCTCTGTGTTCAACACCAACCTGTAGATAGACCCAACACACTTGAGTTGCTGTCTATGCTCACCACAACATCAGATCTTCCATCACCAAAACAACCCACTTTTGTATTGCACTCGAGAGAAGAAGAATCCCTGTCTAAGGGTTTGAGCACTTTCAATGAGATCACAGAGTCTGTGATCCTTGGGCGTTAAAAGAAACAATTTGTGAAGGAAGTTGTTCAATTGAAGTGTGTTAGATTCTTCTCCATTTTTAAATGTTGATAACTTCAGCATTATCTCATTCATCATTTCTTTAATTTTCTTTAGTATACAACGATTGATGATTGATCAAAAGGTAAGCCTTGGTATTGGACCAATTAAAACTTGTTTTCTTCTTCTTTAATTAATTCTCACTAAAAAGACTTTTCAAGAAATCTGCTAAGTTAATCTGTGTTTTGCTTTCTTCTTTTACTGTGAGACGACGTGCATTCAACATATCTTGCAGAGAACACAATGCCAACGTACATATTTTAGCTTCTTGTGTTTTTATACAATAAGTCAATAAGAAACAAGCCAAAATACAGAGAAGCATAATAAGCTAAGCCAACTAATTAGTCTCCACTGGCACCACGCTCCATCTTTGTCTTTGCTTCACAGAATCGATACCAAGAATCTCAATTGATTGAGTGAGATAGGACTCTTGAAACCAATCAGATTGTTTTTTTTTTGGGTTAAAACCAATCAGATTGTTGTGTCTCACCAATTGGTGGCTCCACATTTCCTCCTTCACTAGCGTCTTCACCCTTTTTAGGGTTAGGTGAAGAGTCCTGCTTCTTTGTTTCGATTCTCTGATAAATTGATGAGAATAAAAACACAAAAGTGTTTAGGAAGAATTATATTAGACTCTCATATAAATAATATTACAAGATGTATTCTCTTATATAGAGATAAGCTAAACCTAACTTTTCTAATTTAAGATAAACATAAATGTAAATAATATATTTAGAGATCAAGGTAAATTTCCTAAACTAAGATCTTCCATAATCTTCTGGATCCTTATCAGTATGGTCGATCTCATCGATCTCCCAATACCCTCCCGCAAGCTCATATGTGATAACACGTATGAGATTGGACATGTTTTCAAAATATCGGTGTTATACTCCACCGTCGAGTCAATTGGCTTCAACACCCAGCCGTTAGGTCATTAACGACGTTTATACCCGGTCGTAGGGTTCTTCAAATAGTAGAAAGGACAAAACTCGCAACTGCGATGTCCAAAAATAATTCGCGATTGCGAAATAACAACTCACGAGTAAAAGAAGTTGAATCAAAAGAATGTCTTTGAGAGGGCAGAAAACATCATCAAATATGAACGAACCAAAATCAAAGGTCCATGCTCATAAAAAATCGTCATACATGTAATATATGGGATCATGAAATCATAAAGAGAAACACCATCTTCAGAACGTGTTCTCCAAAAAACTAGCAATTGTGCTAGCCAATTAAAAATTCAAATTGCCTTGACATGACTATTTATTGGCCGAAATAATAAAATAAGCCACAAACAGAGTTCAACTTTGGTGTCTTCAGCACCACCACATACGTGAAGAAGATAGAAAGAAAAACAAAAAACCACAATCCATGAGAATTGGATCTAGGCTCTGATACCATGATAAATTGATGAGAATAAGAACACAAAAGTGTTTAGGAAGAATTATATTAGACTCTCATAAAAATAATATTACAAGATGCATTCTCTTATATAGAGATAAGTTAAACCTAACTTTCCTAATTTAAGATAAACATGAATGTAAATAATATATTTAGAGATAAAGGTAAATTTCCTAAACTAAGATCTTCCATAATCTTCTGGATCCTTATCAGTATGGTCGATCTTATCGATCTCCCAATATTCTCTCACTCTTCATTGCCTTAACATCATCAGGAGATTTAAGAGCCATCTCTTCACCTCCCCAAATAGCCTTGGACAATTTGAAATGCTCCTCCTCATTATTATCCTTCGAAAATGGTGGTACTAGACCCTTCGCCACTTTCTTCAAATATTTCTTCCGTAAGTGCCTAATCTTGTCCATGAACTGATTCAAGTTAGCCTCGAAGCTAACAAGATTCTTGGATGATTTGTAAAATCCTTGCCTGTCTTCAAACGGACTCTTCCCTGTTTTGGTTTTGAAATCAATGATTCCACGTAGCAAAGCGAGCTCGTCTTCCTCAGACCACACTCTTGAAAAATAATGTCTTTTTTCTTCCTTCTTGGCCCGCTTAAAGCTCACGTCCGCTGATTCCTTACTCAACGGCTTCGTCCCTGATGTTGATGGCGTTGGCTTCACGGCTTTGGCTTCAGGTTCGGCTTCTTCCGAAGAACTTAATATCATTTACCTTTCTTCATCTTCTCCAGATGAACTTTCCATTCCCAACAATGCTTGTTTGTAAGCTAGAGGGTAAATGAAGTTAAAAGTTTTAACGAAAATAAAAAAAAACTTCAGATAAAGAACTTGCTGTTTATGGATGAATATAAGGGTTAAATATGAGTGGATATAATACAGTAAGACCATGTCCATCAAAGGATTAAGAAGGGTTTATGATACAATTTTTGAGATAAAAAAGCTTAATATTAAAGAGACGGTATCATCCTGACGAACCTGAAGAGACGGTATCATCTCGAAATAGAGCATCCTGATTGAAAATTATAATTTTCGAATTTAAAAAAACAAAAAATCAAAACCAAAAAAAAAATTATTATATTTTAATGAACCGCTCTTTTAAAGGTTTACTGATAGACATGTAGAAGAATGACTAGGGTAATATTTTTCATAATTGCTGGAATCTCACTGACGTAAAATAGTGGATAAGTACTATTACTTTTTGCTGGATTTGGTTAATTATATTCAAATTCCACACCCTCTTAGATGTCTGAAACGGGAAAAAGAAAAAAAAAAAAAAAGCGAATATGCACAGAGTTTGTCAGAAGAAAATCCAGTAATTATGAAAAGGAAAAATTCAACAGTTTTAATCATTTCACGTTATTATTAATCAGAACATAAAGAAAAGATATAAAACCAAAATTAATAAAACACAATAAAAAAACAAATATCACCAATACAATAAACATTATATTAACTATCTTAAGAACTTAAACATGTTGTCTTTACATAATTACAAAAAGAAGAGAAAAACGTATATAATATTTAAAATTTCATTTATTACTTTTTAAATAAAACTATTTAAATTTTTAAAAAGACTACTTTACAAATAAAAAAGTTCACCTCTATTATAGAACAAAAAATAGAATCCTTCTATATTTTGAAACAAAAATAGTAATCTCTATATTAGAAGTAAAAATAAAGGTGGGATGAAACATATTTTTTTTTAAACTATATTTTCATCTCTAAAAAGACTGAATCTATTAGCACACCAGCAAGGACTTCGAAATCCAGGAGTAAAGGTAAAGAAGTAGCAGCTGATGAACCTCAACAAGAAACCAAGAGGAGTCAAGGTGGATCTTCTAATTTCAAATCTCTCCAGAAAGCTGATGGACGCAGGAGAGGAGCGAGAGAAAGACTACAATGGCAGGCCTCTTCCTCTCGTTCAAAAGAACTACCCAAAAACCAGGTGTGGAAGAGGAAGGATTCCCAGACTAATCGGTCGCGTGAAGGTGGTAGCTCGGCCAGCGTTGGAAAGTCAGTCTTCTCCTCGCAGACGAAAAGCAAGTCCAGTGAAAGTGAAGCCCGAAAGGAGATTATACCTGGGGGAGCTAGCTTGCCCAAGAATCCATCAATCCTCATCATCGGTGTTTGAAAGGCTTGGAGATGCGGGTAAGGATTCGAATGAAAAAAGAAGCACTCTCTCACCTGCTGGCTTGGGGGTAAAGCTGGAAATGAACAAAGAAGGGCTAACTCCGGTGATGATAGTCCCAATCAATCGTCTGTCTTTGAGAGGCTGGGTTCAGGGAGCTCAGGGAAAAAAAGTGATGGATGGTATCTCAGAAAAGAAGAAGATTGAGCTCAAGTGATGAAAAGAGGTCTAAAAGGACTAAAATTGAAGATCGGAAGAACAGCTCTCCAAACCTCTCAGTTTTTGAAAGACTTGGGGATGGTTCCTCGGAATTGAAGAAGAAGAATTGTGGAGACGAATCCTCTGAGGGGAAGAAAAAAGACATGGTGAAAAATCTCATTCTGTCTCAATGACAGCTTCGGTCTCGAATCATTTTGCTTCGTATAAGGCTGGTGAGGATGGAAATAATTTGAAAGAAGGGTTGATGATTAATACCAACCCTTCAAACCCACAATGAGGATATTGAGTTTGAACTGTCAGGGGTGAGGAATACCCTTACAGTTCGTCAACTCAGGGAAATACGTAGAAAGTTTTTCCCTGAAATAATATTCCTTTGTGAGACGATGAATAAGAGATGTTATTTAGAGAATGTTGTTGGTCATCTTGGTTATCATGATTTATGTACTGTGCAACCTGTTGGGAAAAGTGGTGGTTTAGCACTTATGTGGAAAGATGTTGTTTCGGTTTTTATTTTGCAATCTAATAATCGTTGGATTGATTCCAAAGTTCAATGGGAGGACAAAAAATTCTATCTAACCTGCGTTTATGGTGATCCAGTGAAAAAAGATTGAGGATATGTTTGGAAGAAACTCTCTAGAATTGGTGTTGATCGTAAAGGACCATGGATACTTACAGGTGACTTCAATGAGCTTGTAGATCCATTGGAGAAACTTGGAGGCGCGGAAAGATTGGATCACTCTTGTATGGAATTTAGGCAAATAATGACTGTGTGTGGACTCTGGGAGATTAAGCATATTGGTCATCAATTTTCCTGTTTGTAATTCGTAATGATGAGCTTATCCAATGCCGTCTGGATAGAACTATTGCTAATAAAGCTTGGTGTGACATCTTTGACCAAGCACAAGCGATTTACCTTCAACGTGCAAGCTCTGATCACAGTCCTCTCATCACTTGTCTCCTTGAAGACCATCAAAGCAGAAAAACTGGTTTTAAGTATGACCATAGATGTTTCCACAAAGATGGTTTTAAGGAGGAAATTGCTCGGGCCTGGAAAAAGGAAAGATCGGATCATAAGGTAGACCTTATGGCTCGAATCAGTGAAAGTAGAAGGGCCATATCTAATTGGAAAAGGAAAAACAAACCCAATTCTGCAGGATACAAGAGCATTACTTCCAAATTGACCCAGTCACTAAGCAGCAGGACATCAACATGGATGAAATCAGAAGACTGAAGAAAGAGCTGCATCAGAAATACTCTTGGAGGCGCGGAAAGATCGGATCACTCTTGTATGGAATTTAGGCAAATAATGACTGTGTGTGGACTCTGGGAGATTAAGCATATTGGTCATCAATTTTCCTGGTTTGTAATTCGTAATGATGAGCTTGTCCAATGCCGTCTGGATAGAACTATTGCTAATAAAGCTTGGTGTGACATCTTTGACCAAGCACAAGTGATTTACCTTCAACGTGCAAGCTCTGATCACAGTCCTCTCATCACTTGTCTCCTTGAAGACCATCAAAGAAGAAAAGCTGGTTTTAAGTATGACCATAGATATTTCCACAAAGATGGTTTTAAGGAGGAAATTGCTCGGGCCTGGAAAAAGGAAAGATCGGATCATAAGGTAGACCTTATGGCTCGAATCAGTGAAAGTAGAAGGGCCATATCTAATTGGAAAAGGAAAAAAAAAAACAATTCTGCAGGATACAAGAGCTTTACTTCCAAATTGACCTAGTCACTAAGCAGGAGGACATCAACATGGATGAAATCAGAAGACTGAAGAAATAGCTGCATCAGGAATACCGAAATAAGGAAGAGTTCTGGAAAATGAAAAGCAGAGTCACGTGACTAAACTCGGGAGATGGGAACACCAGATTCTTCCATGCAGCAACAAAAAACAGGAGACCCCAAAACAAAATTCGTACTCTAATGGACAACCAAGGGAAGGAATAGTTTGCTACTTCTGATTTGGGATGAGTGGCTGAGGAGTATTTCAGGCACCTTTTCGCCTCTAAGGATATCAGTTATCTTAGTGAGACTCTCGAGAGGCTTTTTCTGAACCAGAATTGTATCTCTGCAGCTCAGAATGGGAGTCTCATGGCACCTGTAACCATTGACAAGGTTAGAAGAGCTGTTTTTGATATTAACCCCTCCAAATGTTCCGGTCCCGATGGTATGAGTGGTCACTTCTATCAACAATTTTGGGACAGTATAAGTGGGGACATTCTGGATTTGGTTAAGGACTTCTTTGCTACTGCGACTCTTGGGATTGATATTAACAAGATGAACATATGCTTGATTCCCAAGAAGATGAACGCAAATAAAATTTCTGATTATCGGCCCATAAGCCTCAGCAATGTTGTTTATAAAATCATTGCAAATGTCCTGGCTACAAGACTCAAGAGGACACTTCCCAGTATCATTTCCGAGACACAAGCAGCGTTTGTTAAGGGCAGGCTCATAACAGATAATATCCTGGTGGCTCATGAGTTACTCCATGCTCTAATATCAAATAACAAATGCGCTGAAGAATATGTTGTGATCAAGATTAATTTATCTAAGGCGTTTGATCAAATTGAATGGTCCTTCCTCCATAAGGCAATGCAGGTTTTGGGTTTTTGTGAGGAATGGATAATGTTATTAATGGGCTGTGTGACCTCTGTCTCTTATCAAGTTCTGATTAATGGCCAACCTTATGGGAATATTCATCTTTCGCGTGGTATTAGGCAGGGTGATCCCTTGTCCCCATATCTTTTTGTTATTTGCACTGAGATATTGGTGAAGATGATGAAAAAAGCATAGGAATATGGCAGAATATCTGGGCTGAAAGTCTGCTCCACCGGTGACGCACTTACTATTCGCTGACGACAGCATGTTCAATTGTAAAGTGGATGACACAGAGCTCTCTCAGGTTATCAGAATTCTGGATGAGTATTGCCTCGCCTCCGGACAAAGGATCAACTTCCAAAAATCTAGTTTATGCTTTGGTAAGAATATCCCTGAAGAGATAAGAGAAGGTGCGAAGAGGAGATTGGGAATCACACAAGAGGGAGGTGAAGGTGTTTATTTGGGTTTGCCAGAGTCTTTTGGAGGATCTAAAGTCTTTATCCTCAGCTACCTCAAGAAAAACATTTGCACCAAAGTTTCTGGATGGCAAAATAACTTCCTCTCCTTTGCAGGTAAGGAGATCCTTCTGAAAGCTGTTGCTCTTGCCTTACCCACTTACACTATGGGCTGCTTCCTTCTGCCGAAGACAGTCTGCAAAGAGATAGTGAAAATAATGGCTGATTTCTGGTGGAAGACGGACAAAGACAAAAGAGAAATACATTGGAAGACCTGGGAGCACATGTGCAGGGCAAAAGAAAAGGGGAAACTCAGTTTTAAGGACCTTGAGGATTTCAACATTGCTCTCTTGGGTAAGCAACTTTGGGGATTGCTCACTCATAAGGATTCGCTCCTGGCACGAGTCTTTAAGGCTAGATATTACCAGAAATCGAACCCTCTTAATGCCACTCTTGGGTCAAGGCCTTTTTACGCATGGAAATGCATTATGGCAGCCCAAGACCTGATAAAGAGTGGAGCTAGAGCCATTATAGGTAATGGTCTCAATACCTACATTTGGAGTGACCTCTTGATTAGAAGGAAACCGGCGAGTGTTGTTAATCATATGAGGTGGGCTCCTCAAACATTTCATCAGGATCCTGCAAAAATAAATACGGTGAGCGATCTCCTCTCTTCTGAATCAAGAGAGTGGAATTGGGAACTTCTAACCGCTGTTTTTAGTGATGAAGATGTCCGCCATATCATGCGCATTAGACCTGGAGGAACTTTATGTGCAGACTCTTACAGTTGAGATTTTACTAAAGATGGGAGATACACGGTTAAGTCTGATTACTGGGTGTTGATAAATGTGGTTAAGCAGAAATGGGCTCCATTAGAAGCAAATCAACCAAGTATTGACCCCCTTTTCCAAATTTCTTGGAATGCCGATGCTAGTCCAAAGGTTCAACATTTTTTATGGAAATGTCTGAGCAATGCTGTATTGGTTGCTGCAATCCTGAAGCACCGACATGTTGCTAAAGGCTCATCTTGCTTAAGATGTCATGATGGGGAGAAAACTATTAATCATATGTTATTCACCTGTCCTTTTGCTTGTTTGGTCTGAGCTGTATCTCCCGTCCTTTCGCCTTGGCATGGGGAAATGTCTGAGTCTTTCTTTGTCAACTTTCACAGAGTTTTCACAATAGCAAAAGAACATCCTTCCGAGGCCAAAGCTGTGAAAGTGGTGTCGTGGATCATATGGAGACTTTGGAAAAATTGAAATAACCTTCTATTTAAAGGTTTGGAATTTGATGCACGGGAATTGGTGAAAAAGGCTTCAGATGATGCGGAAGAATGGCATTCCAGGTTGGATGTTGAAAGTGTGCGACTGAGGGCAATCTCACCAACGGCTCCTATTTCGAAATGGTTACCACCACCATTGAATTGGTACAAGTGCAATGTGGATGCTGCTTGGAGGAAGGATGGCGATAGATGTGGAATTGGATGGATCCTTAGAGATGTTCATGGAAATGCAGTTTGGATGGGAGGAAAAGCTCTTCACCAGCTTGGTTCAGCTCTTGAAACTGAGGCTGAGGCACTTAGATGGGCGATAATTATGATCACAAACCTGAACTACTCCAGAGTTATTTTTGAATCTGATTCTAAGACTATTGTCGATGTGATGAAGGAGGAGCAGGTATGACCTTGTCTAAGTATGTTCCGGCAGGATATAAAAAGACTATTATCTAGATTTCAAGATCACCGACTTGCTTTCTTCCCAAGAGAAGGTAATTGTGTGGCTCATAGGATAGCTCAGGAGACTTACACTTTTGTTGTTAATGTCCCTAAGTTGTATTATATTATGCCTTGTTGGATAAGTCCCTTAATTGAGGCTGATAAGAGTGCTTTGTAAAAACATTTGTGGATTAGTAAATGAGAAGTTGAGCCAAAAAAAAAAATAGAGGTGAGTTGAAGATGCTATAAAATTCTAAAAATTTGTCTATTTGAAGACTATGCCTAGTTAAGACGCCCATAAAGATCTAAGTGCTGCGATTCTAAGAACCGGTGAAACAAATCGGAAACCAATCCAGACCGTCTAGAATCGACATTAATTGGCTAACTCGATCAAATCGCTCCTATAGATCTCGTAAGATGAATTCTTCTTACTTATGGCATTAAGAAGGAAGTTTCCAGAAGGAATTAAAACAACATCAATTATGTAAAAACTAGTTAACTTTCCCGTGCCTTGCGCGGGCTGATATAATTTTCATTTGATTGTTTAAAAATCTAATAGTAGTTTGAATTCATTTGTTTTTTATTCTTCAGTATATTTGTTTGTTAGATTTTCTTGCATTTTAATATTGAAAGACATGATCGTGAAAACATTATAGAATAGAAGAGAGTAAATAAAAACATTGTACTATCCAAATAATTTAGTTTAAATAGTTTTTAGATCTTTTGATCATTGTTCTATGTATTTTAAACGTAATTTTTTAAAGTACCGTATAAACTTATTCGATTTTGATCACTTTTATGTGTTTTAAACATCACAAATACTGTCATTCCATTAGTTAGTTATCTATATTTTCCTTTTTTTTAACTTTTTAGTTAGAGTTTTTTTTTTTTTAATTTTAGTGTTTTTTAACAACATTCCATTACTTTTTGAATAGTTTCTATATTTTTTTTTTTTTTGACATTTTTGTTATATTTTTTCTAAATTTTGGAAACATAAGAAATGATAAACATTAAGAGATACAGATTCTATTTTTTTATTAAAGGAAACGTTTTTGTTAATTTTTTAAAAAAATTTCGGTCATATATAATTTCTAAAACGGTTTGATTGATTATAAAATTAAACATTAAACCATAATGATTTAAACTGATTTATTTTAAATTTTTTTATAGACATCATTAGATAAGAACCAATACAAAAATAACATGTAATTGCAAAATAGGGCTTAACAGTTTTTTTACAGCCGAAATTCATTTTGGAGCTGACACGTAAATGAAAAGTTGTGAAAATCGCTGTGAGCGTGACACATCAGCAGATCACTACACAAATAAGTATATAGATTAATATGATAGATTAGTTGATACATACACTCATTTATTTTGGTATATGCTAGATTACGTTTCATAGAAGAAACCATAATAACTCTGATTAGCACAAACGGCTCGTTGGAAGGGACGATTTGAGAAATACTGCCAATTATTATCTTTCTTATTCCCAAGTAGGCCTGGGCAAAAAACCCGGATCCGAATATCCGAACCGGAACCGAACCGAAATGGAGGTACCGAATCCGAACCGAAATTTTTAAAAATATCCGATGGATCTTAAACTCTTATACCCGAAGAATCGGAACCGAACTAGTACCGAACCGAGAACCGATTGGGTACCGGAATTATCCAAAGTATAATTATATATCCTTCTAAATATTAGTTTTTTTTTGATATTTTTGATATTTGATATATATTTCTGGCTTTACAGATATATTTTCTTTATTTTTGGGACTTTTGGATATATTTTTAAGTCTTGATATATATATTTTTGAATTTTTTTTATTAAAAAAGTATGAGTCGAATTAAAAATTTGAGGCAAAAGATCCGGATCCGATTATCCGAACCGGAACCGAACCGAAATAAAGATACCGAACCCGAACCGAAATTTATAAAAATATCCGATGGATCCTAACTTCCTCTACCCGAAATATCCGGAACCGATTGGTTCCGAACCGAAACCGAACCGAATATCCGAATGGCCAGGCCTATTCCCAAGTACTTACTAGATCTTCTATCAGCGGAACTGGAATGTGCACTGGAAGTTGCACATGATTCACATTTCGAAACAGCACATCTTGATTACCTACTCTGGCTTGTCGAAACACATTAAGTACAGAGTACACATACATACTTTGAAACATATATTTTTACTCTATAAGATGCGAGTTTGATGAATTTGTTAGTAACTTTAAAAAACAACTAATTTTTTAAAAAATACAAAACCAAACTTAAACTAATTGTTGTAGTGATTGAATATGTGCTTCCTCAAATAGTAAGATCCTCTGTTTTAATTTAATCTTTCCAATAATTAGTAACTAGTTCATTTTTCTTATTTTGATAAAGCAAATATCTCTCTTTTTATATCACTTTTTGAGTTAGTAATAATCGTTCCAGTGGCGGTAATTGGACGATTGGGTTAAAAGACTTGATTAAACTAATCTCGGTTGTAGGGTCGATCTCAATGGTTAATCATATTCTCTAGTGACTAATGATTACCCTTTATAATAACAAAAATGCGCTTACTTAAATAAGTAGATGATTCGTCTCGTTAGGCTATGCAACCACAACTCTCACAATCATTACTACCCATAGATTTTTTAAAAAATCATTGGATTATTTTTGTTGTTAAAGAAATATCATTGGATTATGAATTAAGCCATAGATTTTTGAAAAATCATTGGATTATTTTTGTTGCTAAAGAAACATTATTGAATTATGAATTAAGTATGCTCTTGAAAACTAAATATGGTACGAAGGTTCCTCGGGAAGAAACATTGAGCCGTCTATGAGCTGTTGCTTCTCTTGTGCGTTTTGATCTTTGTTTTTGAAACATGGGCATGTGAGTTTGTTTCGTGGGCATGTAATTCAATCACAATTTAGTTAATCAGCGGCCATAGTTCTGTCGGTCTCGATCGAGATTTCAGCTCAGACATTTAGCAAGACATTGAAAAGGTATGTCTTTTGGAGGTTTGGATTACGCTGTGTAAGTGTTCGGTGATATGTCTGAACGAGATGATAAGGTTTCAACTGCTGGCCACAAAGATTACAGTGTTTCAGGTAAGCTTATTCTCGGTTTTTGAATAATCACTTTGTCTATCAATATGCACTATAGAAGCTTTATAACGTTTTCAAAGCAATTTTTAAAACCTGTATAGTTTGACTTATGATGAGACTAGATTCTATCATAACCCATAAGTCACCAGAATGAGAAAAAAAAAAAAAAAAAACTGGTCATTTTACTAGATTCTATGAAGAAACATGGAAATTTCTTGGCCAACGATGCCACATGGGTTATTTGATGTTTATGTTTAGATTATACTTATAACTATTCTCGTTGACAAAACAAAAGAATATAATCTACTATTGTTAATGCATACGATGTCCGGATAAGACGGACGTCTTTGTTCATCAAACGTTAAAACTTTTCTTTATATGTTCAAATCTTAACTAAGAAATGCATACGATGTCCGGATAAGACGGAAGTCCTTGTTCATCAAACGTTAAAACTTTTCTTTATATGTTCAAATCTTAACTAAGAAATCGTGTAAACAAATAAGACTAGAGTACACTTGAGAGAGATGGGTGTGGTGTTCTTTGTTTGCTCACTCTTGCTAATTATATTCTCAACTCGTGGCAATGCAGATATAAACACATCAAGTCCTTTGTCAATAGGACAAACTCTAAGCTCCCCTGGTGGATCTTATGAGTTGGGGTTCTTCAGTCCTAACAATTCTCGGAATCAGTATGTTGGGATCTGGTTCAAGAACATCACTCCTCAGGTCGTTGTCTGGGTGGCTAACAGAGATAAGCCAGTCACAAAAACCGCGGCGAATCTCACTATCAGCAGCAACGGGAGCCTGAACTTGCTTGATGAGAAACAAGATGTTATTTGGTCAACAGGAGAGGCTTTCACATCCAACAAGTGTCATGCGGAGCTTTTAGACACAGGAAATCTTGTTGTGATTGATGATGTTTCAGGGAAAACATTATGGCAAAGCTTCGAGAATCTTGGTAATACTATGCTGCCTCAGTCTTCCGTGGCTTATGATATTCCCCGTGGGAAGAATCGTGTATTGACTCCATGGAAAAGTTACAACGATCCATCGCCTGGGGAATTCTCACTGGAGTTCACCCCACAAGTCCCACCACAAGGCCTCATAAGGAGAGGCTCAGAGCCTCACTGGAGAAGTGGTCCATGGGCAAAAACAAGATTCTCTGGGATACCTGGAATTGATGCATCATACGTAAGTCCATTCACTGTTGTCCAAGATGTAGAAAAAGGCACCGCGTCTTTTTCTTATTCTCAGTTGAGAAACTACAAACTGTCGTATGTTACGCTAACAACAGAGGGGAAAATGAAGATCCTCTGGAATGATGGTAAAAATTGGACGCTTCACTTTGTGGCTCCATCTAGCCCATGTGATCTATATGGTTCTTGCGGCCCTTTTGGTTTGTGCGTGCGAACCAGTACCCCGAAGTGCAAATGCTTGAAAGGGTTTGTACCAAAGTCAGATGAAGAGTGGAGAAAAAGGAATTGGACAAGTGGGTGTGTGAGGCGTACACAATTATCTTGCCAGGCGGATTTTTCTACAAAAACGCGAGGCAAAGACGCAGACATCTTCTATCGTATGAGTCATGTAAAGACTCCGGATCTGTACCAATTTGCAGGCTTTCTCGATGCAGAACAATGCTACGAGGGTTGTCTAGGCAACTGTTCTTGCACAGCCTTTGCCTATATTAGTGGAATTGGATGCTTGGTATGGAACCGGGAGCTAGTAGACACAGTTCAGTTTTTGTCTGATGGAGAGTCTCTTTCCCTTCGTCTTGCAAGTTCAGAATTAGGTAGGGATAAAAAGCGGTTATTATGATGAACATCGATTATTGTCGGTGCTACTGCCAGCATTTCCATTTTCGTGATCTTGGTTTTTGCCGCATATACGTTCTGGAGATACAGAGCAAACAAAAATGGTGAGACACTACAACTTTTGGTCTCTTCTTTCCTTGTCTTTTATTATTCTTCATATTACTCTGTAACCAAAACCAAAGCAAAAGAGGCTTACGCTGAATCTCTCAGATATACACTAGATTGCTAGAATTCTTATGTTGTGTACGGCCTTACGTCCCCTGGGACAGTCTCAGGTAGACAGTTTCTATGCAGAGTTTATATCATCTGTTAAAGATTGATGTCCTCCTAAGGGTTGATTTGATCACTTATGTTGAGTGTTCAACCTTGGATGCTAAAGTGATACAAAGTAAGAACTAATACGTTCACGTTTGTTACCAGCAGTACCAAATTTTATGTTCATCAATACTTCAGAAGAAGCACGGAAGAATGACTTGGAACCACAAGATGTCTCCGGCATAAATTTCTTTGAGATGCATACTATACGAACTGCTACTAACAACTTCAGTTCCTCAAATAAACTCGGCCAAGGTGGATTTGGTCCAGTTTATAAAGTATGTGACATTCTGTTCTATTTGCTTCTTTTCGTTTCTATTCGGTATTTCTCTTGTTCCCTAGATTACTGACTATCTGCAACCTTGCTTTCAGGAAAAGTTGGCAGACGGGAAGGAAGCTGTTAAACGCCTCTCTAGCAGCTCCGGACAGGGTACAGAGGAGTTCGTGAATGAAATAACACTAATCTCAAAACTACAACATAGAAACTTGGTTAGGCTTTTTGGATGCTGCATCAAAGGGGAAGAGAAGCTATTGATTTATGAATTTATGGTGAACAAAAGCCTCGACGCTTTTCTATTTGGTCAGTCCTCGATGCTCAATCATTTCTCCTTTTCCTTACGTCATATGCTAATTATTATTGTGTCACTGTCTCTAATATGTTCTATCTTATTGGCTAGATTCAACTCTAAAGTTGGAGCTTGATTGGCCAAAGCGATTTGATATCATTCAAGGTATTGCGCGTGGACTTCTCTATCTCCACCGTGACTCACGCCTACGGGTAATTCACCGAGACCTGAAGGTCAGCAATATTCTTCTGGACGAGAGATTGATCCCCAAAATATCAGATTTCGGATTGGCTCGGATGTTTCAGGGAACCCATTTCCAGGACAACACTCGCAGGGTTGTAGGAACTCTGTAAGAACTATTTTTAGAAGAAAAAGAAAATGCTAAACAAGATTTTATAGTCATAAAACATGTACTAAACTATATGATGTTTGCACAGAGGATATATGTCTCCTGAGTATGCATGGGCAGGTGTGTTCTCCGAGAAATCAGACATCTACAGCTTCGGAGTCCTACTGTTAGAAATCATCAGTGGAGAGAAGATCTCAAGGTTCACCCATGGAGAAGGAAAGACCCTCATTGAATATGTAAGTGTTAGACTTTTTTTAAGGGTTTTTCAATCCCTTGCAGAGTCTCAAAACGTTCCTTGCTCTGACTTTCTTAAGATCTGAAACGAGACCTCAGGCATGGGAATGTTGGTGTGAGACAAAAGGAATGGATTTTCTGGACCAAGATCTTGGTGATTCGTATTGCCCATTACAAGTTGGGAGATGTGTTCAGATTGGTCTCATTTGTGTGCAACATCAACCTGTAGAGAGACCAAACACACTTGAGTTGCTGACTATGCTCACAACCAAATCAGATCTTCCATCACCAAAACAACCCATATTTGCATTGCACACTCGAGAAGATGAATCCACCTCTATTGATGTGATCACCGTCAATGGGTTGACACAATCTGTGATCCAAGGGCGTTAGGTAACGATGGGTGATCATCCAAATTTGTGGAATTGAAAGTATGTGGATCTTCTCTGATCCTATAAGCTAAAGTGATCATCTTTTCAATTTGATGTTTTTTTGTTTTACTGTTTGGAATAAGAACAGTATGTGTTCAATGAAATGCCTTGACGAGATGTGTAAGGTTTCAAAGGAAACTCGTATCTAACAACTTGCAAGTCCCCGTCAAAGAAAACAAAACTATTAGCTCATTTCTACAGTGTTATTTAGGTGAGCTTGTTCTAGGTTACAGTGTCCAAGCACCATATGTATCACATGAGCTCGTTGTGTCTTTTTCTACATTTTCGATAGAAATGAGCTAATAGTTTGGGGGCCTTTTGGTTTGTCTGTGATGACTGATGAGATCAAGCACCCCAAAGTGCATATGCTTCAAAGGGTTTGCACCAACGTTTGCTAAGCTCTTGATTGACTGATAGCAAAGTAGTACCCACATTTGTCTTGCACACAAGAGATGATCAATCTCTATCTAAGGGTTTGATAAGCGTCCATGAGATGACACAATCTCTTACCCTTGGGCGTTAAAAAACTATGGGCTTGACTGGTTTACACGCAGCGGTTATGGTTGCGAGTGCGGGAGTTTGCGGAAGCGAACGATTGCGGTTTTTGAGCGTTATTGTTTGCACGATTGGTTAAACTTTTTAAGACGGATTCGTTTTCCGAGACATTTTTGATTGGCAAACCAGCGGTTGTTTTAGCGGTTAAACATAAAATTATCAAAATAAACATCATATATAATTTAAAAAAAACAACAGAAAACTATATTATTATGATTAATATCAAAATCACTAATTCAAAATAATTAATAAAAATTATAAATAAATACTATATAATTATTTTAAAAACTAATAAATTTTATAATAATATATTTTATTTTAATTATTGGGAATATCACCCAAAATTGTCTCTAGTAATGTAATAGACTGAAAAAATTTGCTCTAATACGTGGATCTTTTGGATTTGTCTTATGCATGATGTAAAATTTCTTCAATTGATCTAATCGATTTTTTGCACGATCCCAACTCAAATCAACTCCAAATTGCTCATTAGTATTCTTCAAAATATGTTCTTTCTGGAGTGCACTCAAAAATCTAGGATATTTATCTTGAGTTTATTTTTCTACAATGATCTGTTGAAGTAACGCACATGTCATCTCATTTGATCATGTAGCTTTCTGAAGAACAAAAAAAAAGAATTATAACAAACTAAATTTTTAATTAATAAGATACATATTTATAATTTCTTGTTTTAAAAGTGGAAACAGAACAATTAATATAAATGAATTAAACTAAAGTATTATGGCACTTATGCTTATATCTTAATTTTCTTCAACTGATATGAAAGCCATGATTAGAGACTAGAACTTGATAGAAAAAGTGAGAGGTTAGAGTTTATATATATAAGAAAAGATTAATAGGGTTAGGGTTTTATAATTATTTTTAACATGATCTTTTCTTTTTTTTTTCTAGCCTGATTTTTTTTTTATCCAACCGCTACCGTCCGCAACCGCAAACGCTGGCGAGAAGTAGCTTTTGGATTTCAGCGGTATAAAACTATATGGAGCGGTTTGCAGTGATTTCTATGATAGTGATAAAACGTCACTAACCGCTACCAACCGCAAACAATGCGTTTGCGGGTGATAGCGGGTGAACCAATCAACACCTAAGTGTGATGGAAGTTGTACAATCGAAGTGTGTTTGTGATAGGAACAGGGGAAGCTTGTAACCAGAGAAGAAATGAGTAAAGAGACGAGTAAGCAAGAGCTGGCACATGCTCAAGCAAGTTCCAAACTGTATAAGAGAAGCCTTTGTTTCTGTATCGTATAGAATGTTCTGTTAGTTGTGAGTTTTCAATAACTATAAATAAGATAATCGAGAGTTTGGAGTGCTTGTTGTTGGGGAAAGCGGCCGATACGTGCCTCAACCGCACATATTGGTACCATTTCATGCATGTACTTTTGTGTTGTGCCTACACGTTCCTGTACTTCATAAATTGTGTAAATTGATACCCGAACCGTATTTTTTTTGGCCAAAATCTACATTGACTTTTGATCTGTTAGTCAACCCCTGTTTAATTGTTAACGGTTGCTGACTCATCTGCCACGTTGGAACAGAACATTCGTATATCACAAAACGACGTCGTTTTGTAAAATTCTAGAAAAAAAAAAAAAATTATACTCACTGAGTGTCGAACCCAACACTTCAAGCATTTAACAACACCAGAAACCACTAGACCAATTCGATTATTGGTATTTAACCGGGATGTTATATTATATATAGAAACAAAAATCTTTTAATAGAAAAGATTTAATACGACGTCGCTTAATTATAAAGGGCTTTTTAAAACTTGTAGCCTCGAGTATTCGAACCCAGCTACTCAATCACTAAACCAATGCCGAAACCAATAGACCAATTCGATTGAATACCATTCAATCGATAGGTTATAGTATATATAAACAAACGAAAACCTTTTATTAGAAAAAATGAAAACGACGCTAAAGTTATAAATGACTTTTTAAGAAATCTCATCTTCTTCGTCGTTCTTTGTCGAAAATTTTAAACCCAAAATCAATCAGACTTCACTATAGAAGCGTTGGGCATACCTGGATTCGTGGACGAAGCCTTGTGACTCAATGACGATGCCTAATTTCGAGTTTTTCCCCAAATTTTAAACACAGAGCTCGACAAAGCTCAACGAAGAAGATGAGATTTTTAAAAAAGTACTTTATAACCTAAGCGACGTCGTTTTCTTTTTTTCAATATAAGATTTTTGTTTGTTATATATACTATAACTTTTCGATAGAACATCAATTAATCCAATTGGTCTAGTGGTTTTGGTATTGGTTTAGTGATTGAGTGGCTGGGTTCGAAATCCCGAGGCTACAAATTTTTAAAAGCCCTTTATAACTAAACGACATCGTATTAATCATTTTCTAATAAAAGGTTTTCATTTCTATATATAATATAACATCGGCATAAAATACGATTAATCGAATTGGTCTAATGGTATCGGTTATGGTTAAATGCTTAAGGTGTGGGATATGAATGTTCAACGTGGCAGATGAATCAGCAACCGTTAAAAATTAAACAGAATTGACTAACGGATCAAAAGTCAATGTAGGTTTTGGCCAAAAAAATATGGTTCGGATATTAATTTACACAATTTATAAAGTACAAGTACGTGCAGGCACAACACAAAAATACAGGCATGAAATGGTACCAGTACGTGCGGTTGAAACACGTATCAGCCGCTTTCCCGCTTGTTTTTGAGTTGTTACAAACGTGATGAGTCTGTGTTAGGGTTTTTAGTTTGTGGATTGTCTTCTTCACTCTTAACATACTTTGATTTAAATAAAATACTTGTAACACATATTGTTTCTCCTTATCCAAATAAATCAAACTCAACATCCATGTACTGTTGTTTGAAATGCATGTGCTCTTGATGCTCCAATATCTCGTTGACTTGGTCAAAATATTCCCTAATTATTGTCATGAATAAGTTACTGCGACAAAACAAAAAAGTTTGAAGATATCAAGTTCCAATGGATCGAAAGAGAAGGAAATCATCCTGCAGATATTCTCGCTCAGGAAATCAAGATTTCTTTTATAGTTCCTTTGTACCATCTGTAATTACTAACGCATTGCATTGTGACTACAGTATTTTATTTCCTAGTAATAATATTCAGAAGTTAAAAAAAAAAGACAAACAAAAATTGAATTTTTGTGGCATTGCTTGGTGTCGTTTTCTCTTGCGTTCTTTGGCATTTATGCTCCGGTTGGGTCAAAGTCGTCAACTTTTGGGTTCAAAGCGTAAATACAAAATTATACAAATACCAGTGATAAGTCGTTTAAGTCTTCCTCTGTACTTAGGTCTAGTTACTGTTACTTTGAATGCTGGATTCTCGTTAAAGTCGTCGATTTCGGCTAGGCACACTTATGCCCAGATGATGGGACTTGTATAAATCGGCCAAAATTTCCGTGAAATCGCTGTCTCAATCGTGTGTTTGTCCATGTCTTCCAACTTCTGTATTAGGCACTGCAAATGTTCGATGAAATGCCTAAACGAGAGGTACAGCCTCTTCGTAGTTTTTGGATTTTATACTTTGAAACTTCTAAGTTGTTTATATTGTTCCTTCTTGGAGAATGCAAAAGATGCAATCTTTCTTTGCTTTGTAGAAGTTTGACATATGAGTTGACCAAAACGAGAAGAAAAAAATAAAATATCAAGTACTACACGCTATTTTCTGTGGACAGCAATTTAAAAGTTTCCTTGTCAGTAAGGTCTATTCTTCTTTTTTTTGTTTCTCTCTTACACTCGTCAACATGGTTTGCTTTAATGCTTATCATATTCAAACAAGTAGTCTGAACATAGAATATCCTAGCGGTTTATAGTTACTCTACAGGGGTCTAAAAGAAATTCTTTTTACTCTTGGTCTCAACTCTCTGATTATCCTCCTAAAGCTTTTGCTCATATGTTCAACTTTCCAGAAAAGATTTTGCAGAGAAAGAGAAATACACATGAGAAAAATGGGTATGGTTTTATTGATTTGCTTGCTCTTATTAATCCTATTCCAAACTTGTTGCAATGGAGCTATAAACACAACAAGTCCTTTGTCAATAGGACAGACTCTGAGTTCCCCTGCTGGATTTTTTGAGTTAGGCTTCTTCAGTCCTAACAATACTCGGAATCAGTATGTTGGGATCTGGTTTAAGAAGATTAAACCTCGGGTAGTTGTGTGGGTGGCTAACAGAGATACTCCAGTGACAAACTCTGTGGCAAATCTCACCATCAACATCAATGGGAGCCTGATATTGCTTGATGAGAAACAGGATGTTATTTGGTCAACAGGAGAGGCTTACACATCTAACAAGTGCCATGCGGAGCTTTTAGACACAGGAAATCTTGTTGTGATTGATGATGTTTCAGGGAAAACATTATGGCAAAGCTTCGAGAATCTTGGTAATACTTTGCTGCCTCAGTCATCGTTGATGTATGATACTCCCAGTGGGAAGAAGCGTGTGTTGACGACATGGAAAAGTGACAGCGATCCAGCGCCTGGGGAGTTCTCACTGGAGATTACACCACAAGTCCCCTTACAAGGCCTTATAAGGAAAGGCTCGATGCCTTACTGGAGAACTGGTCCATGGGCAAAAACAAGATTCACTGGTTTTCCACAATTTGATGAATCATATGTGAGTCCATTCAGCGTTATCCAGGATGTAGCAACCGGCACAGGATCTTTCTCTTATTCCATGTTAAGAAACTTTAATCTATCATATATTACCATGACTCCTGAGGGGCAAATGAAGATTTATTGGGATGATGGCATTAGATGGATGCATCACCTCACGCTTCCAGAAAGCTCATGTGACATATACGGTGCTTGCGGGCCTTTTGGACTGTGCGTGAGAGCCACTACCCCGAAGTGCAAATGCTTGAAAGGGTTTGTACCAAAGTCTAATGAAGAGTGGAGAAAAGGGAATTGGACAAGAGGGTGTGTGAGGCGTACACAACTACCTTGCCAGGCGAATTCTTCTATAAAAACACAAAGCAGCCACACAGACATCTTCTATCGTGTTACCAATGTAAAGACTCCGGATCTGCACCATTTTGCAAGCTTTCTCGATGCAGAACAATGCTACCAGGGTTGTCTAGGCAACTGTTCATGCACAGCTTTTGCCTATATAAGTGGAATTGGATGCTTAGTATGGAATGGAGAACTCGTAGACACAGTTCGATTTTTGTCTAATGGAGAAACTCTCTCCATCCGTCTTGCGAGTTCAGAATTGGGTTAGGGTGAAACACATCTCTTCTAGAGATTTTAATATTCGACCTTCTTTATAATGTTCTGAAGCAGAGTGGTTGAAAGTTTTGTTTTCTGGTGAATATCTCAGCTGGAAGCAGTCGTATCAAGATCATTGTAGGAACTACGGCCAGCCTTTCCATTTTCGCGATCTTGGTATTTGCAGCATTTATGTTCTGGAGATGCAGAGCAAAACAAAATGGTGAGACACTGTAAAACTTAGCAGCTTTATTTCTCCTCATTTTTTCCTCTTAATCTACATTAATTGTTATAAGATATATCAAAGCTTGATTCCTAAGGGCTAATCTGATCACTTCTATTGGACACCTTTGGATGCTAAACTGTTACAAATCAAGCCACTAATATATGCACATTTGTTTCTCGTAGAACCAACTCCTGTTGGCATCGATACTATACAAGATGCATGGAAGAATGATTTCGAACCACAAGATATATCAGGCATAAAGTTTTTTGAGATGCATACCATACGAACTGCCACCAATAACTTCAGTTCCGCAAATAAACTTGGTCAAGGTGGATTTGGTCCGGTTTACAAGGTACGTGACAATCTATTCCATTTGCTTCTTTTTTGCTCTTCTGTATATTTCTTGTTCTCCAGATTTATCTGAAACTTTACTTCCAGGGAATTCTGCTAGATGGGAAGGAAATAGCAGTTAAGCGCCTTTCTAGCAGCTCAGATCAGGGTACAGGAGAGTTCATGAATGAAATAACACTAATCTCAAAACTACAACATAGAAACTTGGTTCGGCTTTTGGGATACTGCATCGAAGGAGAAGAGAAGTTGTTGATTTATGAGTTTATGGTGAACAAAAGCCTCGATATCTTTCTCTTTGGTATTTCCTTTATTCCATTTACCTCTTTATTTTCCTTTTCCTTCCATCATATGATAATAGTTAATGAGTCACTATCACTAATCTATTTTAACTTATTGGCTAGATTCAACTCTAGCGCTTGAGCTTGATTGGCCTAAGAGATTCGATATCATTCAAGGTATTACGCGTGGACTTCTCTATCTCCACCGCGACTCACGCCTTAGAGTCATTCACCGAGATCTGAAGGTTAGCAATATTCTTCTGGATGAGAAGATGATCCCAAAAATATCAGATTTTGGATTGGCTCGGATGTTTCAGGGAACCCAATATCAAGACAACACCCGCAGGGTTGTAGGAACTCTGTAAGAACCTGTCCTCAACAACATATGCTTAACAAGGATTCATACTTTATCATCATATATTAACTTGATTTCATATTTTTACAGAGGATATATGTCACCTGAGTATGCATGGGCAGGATTGTTCTCTGAGAAGTCTGACATCTATAGCCTCGGAGTTTTAATATTGGAAATCATCAGCGGCAAGAAGATTTCAAGGTTCACCTTTGGCGATGGGAGCAAAGGTCTTCTTGCATATGTAAGTGATACATTTACTGTTATTTGATATGATTCTAATCAAGTGCAGACATTTCCCGTTGCCATTTCAAAACATTTTCGTATTCCTTATTTCAGGCATGGGAATCTTGGTGCGAGACCGGCGGATTTAATTTCCTGGATAGAGATCTTACTGATTCGTGCAATGCGTTTGAAGTTGCGAGATGTGTTCAGATTGGTCTTCTCTGTGTCCAACACGAAGCTGCAGACAGACCAAACACTCTCCAAGTGCTGTCCATGATTACTACAACAACAGATCTTCCAACTCCAAAACAGCCAATATTCGCAATGCAAACTCTTGACAATGTGTTAATGTCAGACACTAAGTCTAATGATCTTATCTCTGTCAATGAGTTAACACAATCTGTTATCCAAGGACGATAAGCTCTTATTATAGATATATATTCTTCTGTATGTAGATTCATGAACCTATGATTTTGATATCTTGTAGAGCGGATTAAACTGATCTCTGCAAAATTTTAATCTTTTGTCAGTCCTTGGGTGGTTGATTCTCTTCCTTTTTTTGATTCTCATCGCAAACTCCACTATAATCGAACAGGGTTTTCACATGCTACCATCATTTGATCTTATAGGTTATACAGAAACTGTGATGCAAGAAAAAACACGAGGTAAAGAAGATACAAGCTCATGTAGAAGATGAAGTCGTGAAGATGCCTTATCCTCTGTTTTTTGTATCGGCAACAGACTCGCAACTAACTTCTTCTCCTTATCCTCTGCGTTTTGTAACCAGGCCTCTTTTAATAATTGGCCCAAGAGTCTTCTTCTTTATCTTGTATACAATGCACATAAGCCCAAACATTTTGGCCCGTTTAACTTAAACCGGAGTAAACTGGTATGACCCGGAAGCTTGATTCGTTTGACCCGAAGACAACCAACTCACAATCATCTTCCTAATTTCTCAATCAAAATACAAAAGTCCTTCTCTTATGCGTTTTGTTCTTCTTTGAGACTTGTGTGAAAGCCATGTGAATGTGTTTTGTTTCGGATAAAGCGTAAAGTGCCTCTTCAGCAATTTAATGGCGTAATGTCTTCTCTTAGCTAGGCTTTGAAATTGTATGTCTTCGGAGGTCTGGATTACGCACTGTAAGTGTTCGATGGAATGCCTGAACGAGATGTAAAGTTTCAGTGGTGATGTTTAGACACGTACAGTGTTTCAGGTGAGCTTCTTCTAGGTTTTTGAAATCTTCATTTTACAGCTTGCAACTTTGTTTGTCAATATGCAGTTTAAAGCTACTAAATCTGTATCCTCATTTGGAAAATGAATAAGCCGCAAAGTTATTTGCTAAGTAGGTTGACTTATGAGAAGACTAAATGAGAGAAAAGAAGAAGTCAATTACTAGATGCAAACTTATATGAAGAGTAACATGCCATTTCTTGGTCAAGGCTGTCAATATATTAGAATTTAAATGCGTATGCTTAGATTATAAAAGAAGAAAATATAATCTTTTATTGTCAATGTCAATGCTCCTAGTATATAGAGGATATACCGAAAGTATTTAGTTCCTAGGTCTCAGTGATCTCTGTTCAAGTTTTCAGAAGAAATCTTTCAGAGAAATAGGAATACGCATAAGAAAAATGGGTATAGTTTTCTTTAGTTTCTTGCTCCTACTAATGGTATTCCCAACTTGTGGCTATGCAGCTATAAACACATCAAGTCCTTTGTCGATAGGACAAACTCTGAGTTCCCCTGCTGGATTCTTTGAGTTAGGTTTCTTCTGTCCTAATAATACTCGGAATCAGTATCTTGGGATCTGGTTTAAGAAAATTGTTCCTCGGGTGGTTGTGTGGGTGGCTAACAGAGATACTCCAGTTACAAACTCTGCGGCAAATCTCACCATCAGCATCAATGGGAGCCTGATATTGCTTGATGAGAAACAAAAAGTTATTTGGTCAACAGGAGAGGCTTTCACATCCAACAAGTGTCATGCAGAGCTTTTAAACACCGGAAATCTTGTTGTTGTTGATGATGTTTCAGGGAAAACGTTATGGCAAAGCTTCGAGAATCTTGGTAATACTTTGCTGCCTCAGTCATCGTTGATGTATGATACTCCCAGTGGGAAGAAGCGTGTGTTGACGACATGGAAAAGTGACAGCGATCCAGCGCCTGGGGAGTTCTCACTGGAGATTACACCACAAGTCCCCTTACAAGGCCTTATAAGGAAAGGCTCGATGCCGTACTGGAGAACTGGTCCATGGGCAAAAACAAGATTCACTGGGTTTCCACAATTTGATGAATCATATGTAAGTCCATTCAGCGTTATTCAGGATGTAGCAACCGGCTCAGGATCTTTCTCTTATTCCGTGTTAAGAAACTTTAATCTATCATATATTAACCTAACACCTGAGGGGAAAATGAAGATTTATTGGGATGACGGCACTAAATGGATGCATCACCTTACGCTTCCAGAAAGCTCATGTGACGTATACGGTTCTTGCGGGCCTTTTGGTTTGTGCGTGAGAGCCAGTATCTCGAAGTGCAAATGCTTGAAAGGGTTTGTACCAAAGTCAGATGAAGAGTGGAGAAAAGGGAATTGGACAAGAGGGTGTGTGAGGCGTACACAACTACCTTGCCAGGCGAATTCTTCTTTAAAAACACAAGGAAGAGACACAGACATCTTCTATCGTATGGCCAATGTAAAGACTCCGGATCTTCACCATTTTGCAAGCTTTCTCGATGCAGATCAATGCTACCAGGGTTGTCTAGGCAACTGTTCTTGCACAGCCTTTGCCTATATAAGTGGAATTGGATGCTTAGTATGGAATGGGGAGCTCGTAGATACGGTTCAGTTTATGTCTAATGGAGAGACTCTCTCCATCCGTCTTGCAAGTTCGGATATTGGTAAGGATGAAACACATTTACTGTAAGAGGTTATAATTTTCTGATTACATTGGAGGATTCAACATTCGTGATAATTATCTGTAGCAGGATGGTTTAAAGTTTTTTTTTTCTGGTGAATATCTCAGCTGGAAGCAGTCGAGCCAAGATTATCGTTGGTACTACAGCCAGCTTTTCAGTACTTGCAATATTGGTCTTTGCCGCATTTATGTTCTGGAGATACAGTGCAAAACAAAATGGTGAGACTGACAAACTTAGCAGCTTTATCTCTCTCTGTCATTCTCTTTCCTTATCCCCATTTTTTCCTCTTAATCAATTTAAACACTGATTGGTATAAGATCTGTGAAAGCTTGATGTCTCCCTAAAGGCGGGGCTAATCTATTCACTTTATTGGAAGTTAAGCCTTTGGATGCTAAACTGCTACAAATCAAGCACTAATACATGCACATTTGTTACGTGTAGAATCTGCTGTCATCGATACTTTACAAGATGCATGGAAGAATGATTTCGAACCACAGGATATATCAGGCATAAAGTTTTATGAGATGCATACCATACGAACTGCCACCATTAACTTCAGTTCCGCAAATAAACTTGGTCAAGGTGGATTTGGTCCAGTTTACAAGGTATGTGACATTCAAATCCATTTGCTTCTTTTTTTTTTCTTCTGCATATTTCTCGTTCTCCAGAGTTATTTGTAACTATTCTTTCAGGGAATTCTGCTCGATGGGAAGGAAATAGCCGTTAAACGCCTTTCTAGCAGCTCTGGTCAGGGTACAGAAGAGTTTATGAATGAAATAACATTAATTTCAAAACTACAACATAGAAACTTGGTTCGGCTTTTGGGATACTGCGTAGAACGGGAAGAGAAGCTATTGATTTATGAGTTTATGGTGAACAAAAGCCTCGATATCTTTCTCTTTGGTATGTCCTTTATTCCATTTATTATTTCCCTTTCCTTTCCTTAATCATTTGGCAATAGTTAATGTCACTCTCACTAATCCATTCTATGTTATTGGTTAGATTCAACTCTAAAGCTGGAGATTGATTGGCCAAAGAGATTTGATATCATTCAAGGTATTGCGCGTGGACTTCTCTATCTCCACCGCGACTCACGCCTTAGGGTCATTCACCGAGATCTGAAGGTTAGCAATATTCTTCTGGATGAAAAGATGAACCCGAGAATATCAGATTTTGGATTGGCTCGGATGTTTCAGGGAACCCAATATCAAGACAACACTCGCAGGGTTGCAGGAACGCTGTAAGAACTTGTCTTCAACAACATGCTTAACAAGGATTCATACTTTTATCATCCTATAGTAACTTGATGTAAACTATTTGATATTTGAACAGAGGATATATGTCTCCTGAGTATGCATGGGCAGGGTTATTCTCTGAGAAGTCCGACATATATAGCTTCGGAGTTCTGATGTTGGAAATCATCAGCGGAGAGAAGATTTCAAGGTTCACCTTTGGTGATGAGAGCAAAGGCCTTCTTGCAAATGTAAGTGAATGATTTGATTCTCGTCAAGTGCAGATATTTAGAGTCAACATTACAAAACATTTCTTATTCTTATATTCAGGCTTGGGAATCTTGGTGCGAGTCTAGGGGATCGGATCTTCTGGATAGAGATCTTTGTGATTCATGCAACGCATTTGAAGTTGCGAGATGTGTTCAGATTGGTCTTCTCTGTGTTCAACACGATGCTGCAGACAGACCCAACACTCTTGAAGTACTGTCTATGATTACTTCAACAACAGATCTTCCAATTCCAAAGCAGCCATTATTTGCAATGCAGCCTCTAAACGTGCAAAATCTAAACGATGTGTTAATGTCTAAAGATCAGGTCTCTGTCAATGAGTTAACACAATCTGTGATCCAAGGACGATAAGCTCTTAATATATACTTCAGTCTGTATATCCATGATCCTAAGATTTTGAGACCCCACTTTTTATTCTTGTTAAAATACAATGTTTCGTTGAGTTGGTGAAAAATACGCAAAAACAGTGTGAATATTGTTATTAACTGTGAAACTTATTATCATAATGATAAAGTAGTCATTTTTATTGGATCATGTCGTCTTCTCTTGCGTTCTCGCTAGTGAAAGTCTGCGACTTTGGTTACAATCGTTGATGCCCAGATGGTCAGAGTGATTGATCCGCCATAGTTTTCTGGGTAAGAGCTGTCTCTTTCTGTAAAGGACATCAACATCGTCTTTGCATTCAACATTGAAACTTTTGGGATCATGCACTGAATGTGTTCGGTGAAATGCGTGAATGAGATGTCAACTTTCAAAGTCTATGCAGTAGGGACCAATATTTGAAGCCGCCCCATCAGACGTCATACCTCAAAAGTCTTTAGGTAAGTTTTTTTTTGGCTCTTCATTGCTTAAGATTTAACAAAGAACCATAGCTTACGATTTCAGATCTTTCAAATCACTTGAAAAGTTCGTATTGGTTTCTTTATTTCAAAACTGACGAATCTACACATTGTATCATTAAGGTAGAAGAAATTTAGCAGTTGCAAAAGCGTTCCCGTGCTCTGTTTTGCTTTTTTTTCTTCTTTTTCTTTTGCCTTCTTTGGTTACATTCCTAGAAGATGTGGAATGTGAAGGCTTGTTTGTGTTGTGATTGGTTAGATGGAAAGTTGTTGACTTCATTTATGGTTAAGGCCCAGAGATGGGAATATTCAAACTTATCTGCTGGAGCAACATGGAATATAAAATAAGAAAAATACAATTTTTTTTTGGTTTATTTGGTGTGATGGAGAGATTTGATTCTGATGGCGTGATGGTCAACGTGGTCTATGAGTTTTCTTTTTAATACTGCGGTCTAGGTGGCTTAATATAATAATCAACATATATAACTTAAAGGAGTCTCCATGGATACATACTAGAGGTTTTCATTTTTGGTAAAGATGTACCCGAAGGAAGTTTGTTCTGTTATTCCATTGACTTTATACAGATAAGCTTCTTTTTCATCGACTGAAATCTTGAGAAGAGCTCTTGTGTATCATATGGGAAAGTTTGATATTGTTTTCGTTGCTTCTTTTGTCTTCCTGCTGATCAGAATCCCAAGTTTTGGCTATGCAGCTATAACCAGATCAAGTCCTTTGTCGATAGGACAAACTCTAAGCTCCCCTGGTGGATCTTATGAGTTGGGGTTCTTCAGTCCTAACAATTCTCAGAATCAGTATGTTGGGATCTGGTTCAAGAACATCACTCCTCAGGTCGTTGTTTGGGTAGCTAACAGAGATAAGCCAGTCACAAAAGCCACGGCGAATCTTACTATCAGCAGCAATGGGAGCCTTATCTTGCTTGAGGGAGAACAAGATCTTGTTTGGTCGATAGGAGAAACTTTCTCATCTAACGAGCTTCGTGGCAAGCTTTTAGACAACGGGAATTTTGTCCTCACTGATGAAGTTTCCGGAAGAATCTTATGGCAAAGTTTTGAGCATCTTGTTGATACTATGCTACCTCAGTCATCTGTGATGTATGATGTTCTGAATAACAAGAAACGTGTTTTATCTTCTTGGAAAAGTCCTACAGATCCTTCACCTGGAGAATTCGTAGCTGAGCTTACGACACAACTGCCTCCGCAAGGCTTTATAATGAGAGGATCCAGGCCTTACTGGAGAGGCGGTCCATGGGCAAGAGAAAGGTTCACTGGCACACCTGAAATGGATGAATCAAATGTAAGCCAATTCGACGTTTCCCAAGATGCAGCAGCCGGCACAGGTTTTTTGACTTATTCATTGCAAAGAAACTCAAACCTGTCGTACACTACACTAACATCAGAGGGATCGTTGAAGATTCTTTGGCATGATGGCTCTCGTTGGGTAAATGACTTTGAGGCCCCAGTAAGCTCATGTGATGTTTATAATGCATGCGGACCTTATGGTCTGTGTGTGAGATCTAATCCTCCAAAGTGTGAATGCTTGAAAGGGTTTATACCAAAATCAGACGAGGAGTGGAATAGGAGAAACTGGACTGGTGGTTGTGTGAGAAGAACAGACTTATCTTGTCGTGTTAACTCTTCTGTAACAACACAAGACAATGATCCAGACGTCTTCGACATTGTTGCAAATGTGAAGCCTCCAGATTTTTATGAATATCTAAGCTTGATCAATGCAGAGGAGTGCCACCAGCGTTGTCTTGGAAACTGTTCATGCATGGCATTTGCCTATATTGAACAAATTGGATGCTTGGTTTGGTATCGAGAGCTTGTTGATGTAATGCAGTTTTCTGCTGGAGGAGAGATTCTTTCCATCCGTCTTGCAAGTTCTGAGTTGGGTATGAAATGAAACAGAGCATAAGTATTGTTCTTAGTACTTCTAGATTATTTTCGAGTTTCTTCGAGAGGTTCTTGTTTGCTGCAGCATGGTTAACAGTTTACTTTTATGGTGTTGTATCTCACAGCTGGAAGCAATCGAACCAAGATAATCGTAGCTAGCACTGTCAGCATTTTTGTTTTCATGATCCTTGTCTTTGTTGCATATAAGTTCTGGAGATACAAAGCAAAGCAAAATGGTGAGACACTAAAATGCTTAGTTGCCCTCTTTCTCTTATTTTCTTAAAGTCATATATAAGCCTTTGAATGCTAAATTGCTATAAATTTAGTACTGACACTTGGATGTTTGCAATTCAAAGATTCAACTCCTACATCCATGGAGACTTCACAAGATGCATGGAAGAAAGAACTGAAACCACAAGATGTTTATTTCTTTGAGATACAAACCATATTGACTATCACGGATAACTTCAGCATGGAAAACAAGCTTGGTCAAGGTGGATTCGGTCCAGTTTATAAGGTAAGATTCAACGTTGTGCTTTATCTGCTCTTTTCCTTGCCCATGCTTTATTCGTGTTCACTAGACGATTATCTCCAACTTTACTTCTAGGGAAAGCTGCAAGATGGGAAAGAAATAGCTATAAAACGTCTTTCGAGCAGCTCTGGACAGGGTCTAGAAGAGTTCATGAATGAAATCATACTCATCTCTAAACTCCAACACAGAAACTTGGTCCGGCTTATGGGATGCTGCATTGAAGGAGAAGAAAAGCTATTGATTTATGAGTTTATGGTGAACAAAAGCCTCAATACCTTTATATTTGGTAAGTCTCTTATTGCGCTCATTTGTGCATCTTTCCAAATCCTTTTCGTCAAAATATACTCTTTTTATGTGTTTTGCTCACTCACATTTTTATGATTTGGCTAGATTCGACGAAAAAGCTTGAGCTTGATTGGCCCAAGCGGTTCGAAATCATTCAAGGTATTGCTTGTGGACTTCTCTATCTTCACCGTGACTCATGTCTCAGGGTTGTTCACCGGGATTTGAAGGTCAGCAACATCCTTTTAGATGAGGACATGAACCCAAAAATATCAGATTTTGGATTAGCTCGGATGTTTCAAGGAACTCAACATCAAGCCAACACACGCAGGGTTGTTGGAACTCTGTATGTATCTGCCTTTCTTTGATAACAAGATCAATCAAAGTCTTTTACTTTCTTATATCATCAAACTGAGAATTGTTTTGGTAAATTGAACAGAGGATATATGTCCCCGGAGTATGCATGGACAGGAATGTTCTCTGAGAAATCCGACATCTATGCATTTGGAGTTCTATTGTTGGAAATCATCACGGGAAAGAGGATTTCGAGCTTCACCATTGGAGAGGAAGGCAAAAGTCTTCTCCAATATGTAAGTCATTTACGTTCTCTATCTTTCTTAAATCTTGATTATGGATCTAAACGTTTCTTACATGCTTGTGTTCATCAAATTTTCAGACATGGGATTGTTGGTGCGAAAGTGGTGGAGCGGATCTATTGGATCAAGATATATCCAGTTCAGGTTCTGAAATCGAAGTAGCGAGATGTGTTCAGATTGGTTTGCTCTGTATTCAACAGCATGCTGTGGATAGACCCAATATTGCACAAGTCATGTCGATGCTTACTACAACAATGGATCTTCCAAAACCAAAACAACCTGTCTTCGCATTGCAGGTCCAAGAGAGTGATTCAGAGTCTAAGACTATGTATTCTGTGAATGATATAACACAAACTGCTATATTTGGTCGATAAAAGCATTGCTTATGCAATGATTTCACCATGTTTACAGAACTAAATCGATTGTAAATTGTTGTAAATGAATTTTTGTAGTTCATATAAGCTTAGGATGTGTTGAATCTCTCTGCTAAAAAATGTTGTCACTCTTTACTCTTATGCCAAGATATTTTCAGATAAATTGAAAAATGAATTCAAGATACAAGATGATTTCAGATAAATCTTGAATATAAAGCATTTTTAGTTACTCATATATACAATTAACAAAAAAAAAAATGTTTTATGAAGATTATCTTATTATGGAATATTTACAAAAAATATAGACAAATATATACGTAAATGCAAACACAAGTGAATATTGCAGACAAAAACAGCATTTAATTTTACAACGGGAGATAAGATTACCTCAAAAGCACGAGTCTTTGACTCTTTGTGTCTATGAGAGAGATAGAGAGAATGTTAGGTCTCAAATATTCAAAGACACGAGACAAATCCAGAGTGTTGCTATCTCTCGAAGGTTGTTTTTTTTTTTTTGGTTTCTTGCGTCATCAGAAAGCTCGTGACTTTGGATCTTACCGCTTACGCCCAAATGATCTCAGCGTGATCGATCACAATTACTTGAAAAAAAAAAAACAAACTTTTTGTCATTCTTTATTCTTCAGCTATAGTGATTGGTAGGAAAGTTTGACTGCTTCTTACACTTAGAGACGCACTGATATTGTTTGACGAAATGACTGAATGAGGTTTAGCTTCTTATGGGTCCAAATACAAAACTTGGTGGCTCAACAAATTTACTCAAGCTGATTGATCTATGCCTGGTTTATATGAGAAAATGATATTTTGAAAGAGATATCTGTAGCACCCAGGTAACTTCTGCATATGGCCCCTGTTTTTGTGCTAAGCTCTCTCACAGAAAGTGACAAAGTGTGAGAGATGAAAAGTATTTTTTCAGCGCTTGGAGAGAAAAATTGACTTCTAGTTAGACTTAATGCATTAAATTCTTACAACGTCTTATTTTTTATTCTGTTTGATTATAGTAAAGAGAGTAAAGGACTGATAATTGTTTAGTGACACATTCATGCACCAGATAGAAAAGATAACTTTGAAAAAGTCAAGTATTGTGATCTAAGATGTGGTCAACTTTAGGTGTCTTAAGTAGCAGACTCTTGAGTTTTTAATGTTTTATAGATGAAATTAAAAAGGAGGATTGCTCTCTCAATTCCTTGAGCTAAAAAAAAAAAAAAAAAAAAAACTTCTTTTTTCCTTCAAGTCTCAAGATGGGTATCTTTGTATGCTTGCTCTTGATAACAACCATGTTCTCAAGCTGTGGCTATGCAGCTATAACCACATCAAGTCCTTTGTCTGTAGGGCATACTCTGAGCTCACCTGGTGGATCTTTTCAGCTAGGCTTCTTCAGTACTAACAGTTCTAGGAATCACTATGTTGGAATCTGGTTCCAGAAAGTCACTCCTCGGGTTATTGTTTGGGTGGCTAACAGAGAAAAGCCCGTCTCAAGCCCCACGGCGAATCTCACAATCAGCAGCAATGGAAGTCTCATCTTGCTTGATGGCAAGCAAGATCCTGTGTGGTCATCTGGAGGAGATCTTACATCTAACAACTGTCGTGCTGAGCTTTTAGACACCGGTAATCTTGTCCTCGTAGATAATGTTACTGGAAGATATTTGTGGCAAAGTTTTGAGCATCTTGGTGATACTATGCTACCACTCTCATATTTGATGTATGATACTCCTCACAACAAGAAACGTGTGTTGACTTCCTGGAAAAGTGAGACTGATCCATCACCTGGGGAATTTGTAGCTGAGATTACACCACAAATACCCTCTCAAGGCCTTATATGGAAAGGCTCGTCACCCTATTGGAGAAGCGGGCCATGGGCGGGAACAAGGTTTACTGGGATACCAGAAATGGATGAATCATACATAAATCCATTGGGAATAGTCCAAGATGTAGTCAACGGCACAGGAGTTTTCGCTTTTTGTGTACTGAGAAATTTCAATTTGTCATCCATCAAGCTAACATCTGAGGGATCATTGAGGATTCAACGGTATAATGGAACCACTTGGATTAAGCACTTTGAGGGTCCGGCAAGCTCATGTGATCTATATGGTACATGTGGACCTTATGGTTTGTGTGTGAGGTCCGATACTCCGACGTGCCAATGCTTGAAAGGGTTTGAACCAAAGTCAAATGTGGAGTGGAGAAGTGGGAATTGGAGTCGTGGGTGTGTGAGACGCACAGGCTTATCTTGTCCAGAAAGCTCTTCTGCAAAAACGCAGAGCGAAGACAGAGACGTCTTCTATCATGTTTCCAACATAAAGCCCCCAGATTTTTACGAATTAGCAAGGTTTATCAACGAAGAAGAATGCCACCAAGGCTGTCTCAGGAACTGTTCTTGCACAGCCTTTTCCTTTGTCAAAGGAATAGGATGTTTGGTGTGGAACCGGGAGCTATTGGACACGGTGAAATTTACTTCTGGAGGAGAGACTCTTTCCCTTCGTCTTGCACATTCTGAATTGAGTAAGCCATCATAAAGAGCTTTTCTTATACTCATATAATCTCTAAACTTTCTTTACAATCTTCTTTCTCGATAACAGTGTGGTTTACAGTTTAGTTTTCTTGAAACCCTTTCAGCTGGAAGCAAGCAAATCAAGGTTTTCACTGTTAGCACTCTCAGCCTCTCTGTTTGCTTGATCTTGGTGCTTTCTGCATATGGGTGTTGGAGATACAGAGTGAAACAAAATGGTGAGAGTCCAAATAGCTGATTTCTCTTGAGATCCCTACATATTATCCTGTTATGGTTCCTTGTTTACGTGAGCTTACCTTGTTTCTGTGTAGGTTCAAGTCTTGTATCCAAAGACAATTTAGAAGGCGCTTGGAAGAATGATTTGCAATCACAAGATGTCTCAGGTTTAAATTTCTTTGAGATTCATACCCTACAAACCGCCACAAATAGTTTCAGCATGTCAAATAAACTCGGTCAGGGTGGGTTCGGTACGGTTTATATGGTAAGAGATATGGTTCCTTCTGTTTGCTCTTCTCCATTCTGATGTTTTTTGTTCTTTACATGACTGTCTGCAACTATGATGCCTTCAGGGGAAGCTTCATGACGGGAAGGAAATAGCTGTAAAGCGTCTCTCTAGCAGCTCTATACAGGGTAAAGAGGAGTTCATGAACGAGATAAAACTCATCTCGAAACTACAACACAGAAACTTGGTTCGGCTTCTGGGATGCTGCATCGATGGAGAAGAAAAGCTCTTGGTCTATGAATATATGGTGAACAAAAGCCTTGATACTTTTCTCTTCGGTAAGTCCCTTCTTGCTCTTCTCCTCCCATTAACATTATAAATTCTTGACGCTGATCGGTTTCTGCCGTACAGATTTGAAGAAAAAGATTGAGATAGATTGGCCTAAGAGATTCAATATCATTCAAGGAATAGCACGTGGACTTCTCTATCTCCACTACGACTCATTCCTCAGAGTTGTACACCGCGACCTGAAGGTCAGTAACATTCTCTTGGATGAGAAAATGAACCCGAAAATATCAGACTTTGGATTAGCTCGGATGTTTAAAGGAAATCAACATCAAGAAAGCACTGGCAGTGTCGTTGGAACTCTGTAAGAAACCAGTCCTATTCTTATGACATGCTCAGTGCTCAGTCAAAAGTCTTTCATGTTTATACTCAACTTGACTAACTATTTGAACAAATGTGAACAGAGGATACATGTCTCCCGAGTATGCTTGGACAGGGACGTTCTCTGAGAAGTCCGACATTTACAGCTTCGGAGTTCTAATGCTCGAAATCATCACCGGCAAGGAGATTTCAAGCTTCAGCCATGGCAAAGACAGCAAAAATCTCCTTTCATATGTAAGAAACATATCCATATCTTAAACACTTGCAGGGGTCTAGATTTCATTCTTGATTCTTATATGTTTTTGCGGTTTTTGATTTGTTATAACAGGCGTGGGAATCTTGGAGCGAAACCGGGGGAGTGAAACTACTGGATCAAGATCTTGCTGATTCTGATTCAGTTAATTCAGTTGAAGCAGGGAGATGTGTTCATATTGGTTTGCTATGTGTTCAACACCAAGCTATTGACAGACCAAACATCAAACAAGTGATGTTAATGCTGACTTCAACAACGGATCTTCCTAAACCAACACAACCAATGTTTTTATTGGACACAAGCGATGAGGATTCTTCTCTGTCTCAACACTCCAATGATCTCTTCTCTGTTGATGAAAGCAAATCTTCCCAGGAGCTAAATGCTTTCTCTTGAATATTGTTGACCAAATCTGATACTTCCACTGTGACTTCCATGTGTTTATTCAGATTGTGAATAAAACCAAGTTATGTAAGTTGGCTTTATAATACTAAAGAGGTTATTGTGAACTTTTAACATCACCATTCTCTTCGAATTTTTAGTTCATTTTAGCCTTGTAGGTAATCTTTTTACCTGGATTTAGATTTGTTATAGAGGCTTTAGAGACTCCAAACTAGAAAGAAGGTTTTGACCAAACCACAAAGAAGAAACTAGTCAATGATTTGTCTTTTTTTTTTCTTTTTTTTTGTTCAAAAGGATTTGTCTTCTTCTTCTAACGGATTTGACGTTAATCGATGGCAGAGGATAAGCTATCAAAATGATTGGCTGCACAAAAGCTGAGGAAATCTTTGTCAAATGAGTAGGTTTATTGTCGTATATGTGAGAGAATTTCGGAGAGTGAACAGGTTTACACTTTAAGTTCTCTGTTTTATCGAGTTACATAAAAGGTTTAGTGAGATTCATACATATTGTATATAAATGTTCTAGGTTCTTAATTTTGCTTGGATTAAAAATGGTGTCGGACTAGTTAACAGACCAATCCTGTAAAACTAATACACTACTTGAATCATATAATGTTGTTATGAGTGAATTGGTGAAATTGCCAAATTTCTGTTTATAAACACAAAAATGACCATATCTTTTGAAGTAGATGACACTTAGCCGAATACCGCTGAAAATAACATTCTACCGTCTTCAACCTTTTCCTCTTATCTTTCATGTGCAATAAGAAATGTTTGTGCACCCTTTCCTCTTTTTAGATTCTATAATTTCGTGTTAATTGATTTAATTTAAGCC